CGTGCGGATCGCCATTGATGGACGTATCCGGATCAGCGAGGTCGCGTTCGTATCGAAGCATGTAGTTCATCCCGTGTTCCTATGGTCCGGAAATAGTACTTGTCAAAACGCGAGACGCAATACGCACCTCATGTCTGGCGACCACACCGGATACGACGTTCGGGGAGCATCCAGAGCTCTGCTTCTCTTCATCGCCGGAGCGTCTCGGTGATCCTCACGAGACCTGCAGAATGAGGAGAGACCTTTTTGAGCTCGCCAAAGGCATGCGATATGGAAGCGTCCCCCTAGTGCTATTCGACGGGGGTTCGTGTCGGGGTCGACAACATCGAGAGTACGAGGTCGCGCTCACCGCTTGACGGCCGGGCAGGCGGGCTCCTCCTCTCCCTCGTACGGCATCGCCCGCTCCCTGCGCCGCGCTGTGGGTGTGTACCTAGCCATTTTGCGAATGAAAGAATGGATGCAGAGGCCGTTCTTTATACGGGGACTCTCCGTCAAAGAGTCTGGAGAAAGACCAAGTCGTACAGCGACGGTTTCAAACCCATTCCTACGGCTTCGCCATCTCGCCACTTTCAACAATAAATTGTGATTCCGCGCGGCGTATACCGTATACGGAACGTAGTAACGCCACACGGAAAGGAATGACAAGGGTTGAAAATGGCATGCCAAAAAGGGCCATGCAGCAAAGGCCGGCCGGGCGGCCGCGCGGCGCTCATGCGGGCCGGCGGCTGGGTGCGGCCAGGCTGGGCCGCGCTCGAGGCTCAGGGTTTTGAATGTGCAAGCGCTCACCTGAGTTCGGTAGGTTAATCTGTATAATATTTGAGTCAAACCAAACGACTGCAGGGCTCCCAACCGATTTGAGAACTTTCAGCAGAGCATCGCGGTCAGAATCACGCGCAGCAGGAAACGCTCCGCTGCCGGTTCCATCCTATAACCCGGTTAGGGTTTTGTTGGTGGGGCTTGCCACACGCAACCTCAGGTGCAACGCTTGAGCTTCAGCATTCACACAGGAAGCTGAAGCCGAAGCTATTAAAAGGAAGGCGCACTGCGTGTGCCTGGCAATGTTATTTGGATTAACAGCTGGCCAGATGCTTTGACGCGAGTCAATGCCATGCAGGAGGGTCGCTTTCCTTGCTCATCCATGGTGTTCAGCAGCAGAAGGAAAATGTAGCTGAAGGTTGCCAGGTGCAGGCAAGAGGATGGCAAATGTAGTTGCAAACCTTCAAAGCCTGCTTTTATGCTATAAAAGTACATCCAGCAGACCCAATGGGCACAGCACCACCTTGACTTTATGCAAATGCATGCAGGTTCTCACCCAATGTGAATTGCCTGATATTCAAGCACAAATGGCCGGTACGGCCCACATTTTCAACCTCTACATTCAGTTGCAATCTTTCAATCTCCCAATCTATGCTGAATCAAGATGTGCTGGTGCGCTTAAGCAATCTTTAGTTTTCAACATGTGGATATGATCGCAATGTTTTACCCTCGATGTAGGTGATTGTGAAAGTATAAGACTGTGAGTATAAACTTATAATAAAAATTTGCATGGCACCTTACACATTCAATCAATCTCTTCGACCCTTGGGATCCGAGCACCTGTGCGATCCATAATCTCTTCAATCTCAGGATCTCTTGAATTCCTAGGGCTCGAGCGACCTCTGCCATCTAAAATCTCTTCAACATTATGATCTATCGTCTAAGTCAACCTCAGTGGAAACCGAGCGACCTTTGTGATCTCGAAATCTCTTCAACCTCATGATCAACCCGGCAGTGGGACCGGAGTGCTCGATTTTTGCAATCCATAATCTCTTCAATTCCGGGATCTTTTCAACTCCGACTAGGAACCCGAGCACCTCTGTAATCCCGGAATCTTTGCAACCTTAGAATGTCTTCAACCTCTAGGACCCGAACAATGCATATGCGTTCCTATGTCTCTTCGATCCCATGATATTTCAGAGTCAACCCCCGGGATCCGAGCGACATATGCAATCCCACAACTTTCAACCTGAGGATCACTGCAACCCCTGGGGCTCGAGCGACCTCTGCAATCTCAGAATCTTTTCAACCTCATGATGTGCGTCAACTTCTATAGAACCCGAGCGCAACCATTGCAATCTCACAATCTCTTCAACCTCGTGAATGTTTCAAGTTTTCAACCCTGGGATCC